ACCAACGGTGCACATGGGCTCCAGTATCTTGAAGGAAAAAATAGCGTATAAATCAATCGCTGGTCACCGGCTAACATGGGACTGCATCTCCGGAAGTTGTTACACCGCCTTATGGATTAGACATCTAGGTCGAAAGCTCCATGTGTGTTCCTCTAAGAAAATCACCTGTTTCGGTCTGGGCACCTCGGCAGTATGATAGCCATCACACAAATCAAATGAGATTTGTGTGGAACATATATATCTGGTGCCTTTTGGTGCCAATATTTATGTATTCAAATAAATAATAACTAAATAAATAATGTACATTATAATCTCCACAAATCAACCTACATTTCATTCTACTATGGGACTCCTCTAGAAGTAGATATCCACGATCCTACCTCAGAGGATTGAACCCAGAACCTTTAATTTTTCATGAGACGGTCCGACTCCTAGATCCATCGTCTGGAATTCCACAGGGCACATATCTAACTTTCATACATTTGAATTCATGAAAGACTAAGCGAACCTTGATAAATCACTTGTCTATAGTCACATGTTGTATTAAGATCAAACGGCAAATGAGAAATAATTAGCGAGCAAAGCCACTAGAGGAAGTCAATTATGCTTCTAATCAAGCTTTCAGATCACATTTTTTTTGTCCCAGGATAAAAATACATATGTATGCATACAAATAGTTAGTTTGCTTAATGGTTCAATTTTATCAATTACAACTTCCTAGTCAGTTCTACGTTTTCCCATCGGCACAGCTGATTGAACTAACGTATAGGAAGCATGAATATTCGTAGTTGATGTCGTGAATTGTAATAATTTTACAGGTGATACAACAAACATGGTAATCTGAATGATTTACGACAGTTAGATTTGCAGTCAAGAAAATACTAGTTCAGTAATTATACACATAGACACTTAATGTTTCATTGAGAGAAAAAAATTTATTGAGTGAGGTCTAATCTATTACTTCTTGAATAATGCGTTTGAAGAGTGATAACCATAAATCTATTTTTGTGTGTTTTATCAAATCAGTCATATCAAAGATTAAGAATTCCTCACACTGATATCTAACCTAATGCTAAACAGTTTTCCAGGTGATCTCATTTCATTGAAGTAACTATTTTTGGAGTCTCTATATGTTCGAATCTCGTTAGGCAGGATTATGGAAGCGCACTGCTGAGGAGTCCAACAATAGTAAGAAACAGCCGTCCAGTGCTTTTATGGTGGTCTAGCTTCAATTGACTCATGATTTTAATTATCAAAGTACTGAAATCTCCACAAAACCCTTTTTTTCTAATCAAAGGAATCATGATAGTCTAGCCATCGTTTATAAGTGATAGGTTTGTACAATCATCTCCTGAACGTCTACACACACACACATAAGTGAAATTACCTAAAATTTAACTTTTCAATGAATTAAAACAAAGGCAGGTAGAGATGGGAAAGTTTGTATATTGTTTACTGTATCCCCCCCCAAAAAAAATGAAGGCACATGATGCCGTGGTGACTATGACGAGGATAATGTAAATATGTAAACAAGTACCATTTCACTTCCTTAATGATTAATTTAGATATAAATTTTCCCACACATTTAAACAATATTTAGAGAGAAATAAAAGGAATTGTGATTCATTCCTTTTTTATACTTGTTGTCATTTCATTTCATTCTTATGAAGAGTTGTCAATGAATCATCATTTAAATGTTTGAATGAATCACTAAGTCACGTTTTGTGATGATTTTAGTAATTTTATATTGCTAAAATCATGATTCAGTTGAATCCAGACCATCATGGAAAACCTGGAAGCACTGGACGACCGTTTCGTTCTATTGTAGGAGTTCTAGGAGGAAACAGTAACCAGTGGAGTTCAAATCACGTCTGTTGAAGAGATAGGAACTCACTGAAGATAATTGGTAAATGCTTGCTCAGATTTTGTGGTTTTCTTGAAGTTACAGATTGAAACCGTTGGATGCCGACCAGCTCAGTGGTCTAGCAGTTAAACGCTCGTGAGCGAGACTGATAGATCCTGGGTTCGAATCTCACGAGGTAGGATGGTGGATGCGTAGTGCTGAGGAGTCCCAAACTGGGACGAAACAGCCATCCAGTGTTTCCAAGTTTTCCATGGTTATCTAGCTTCAATTGACTCATGATTTCAATTATCTAATTTCCCAAAAATGACAATAGCCTACATTAGGATTATACATAGAAACTGGATGATAACGAAGGATTCATAAACCAGTTTAGTTAATAAGTAAACATATAAACATATGGTTGATTTCAGAGATTTCAAAACTATCAATATGTTACAATTTACAGTAACAAAAGTGAAAGACCAAAGAACACACTTTGTCAGAAATAGGAAGCAGACATGAAAAGGATGAGTCGGAACTGGAAAGAACTGGTGCGAGAATGCTGGTGGAAGGCCTATGCTCTTGCTCGAAGTGTGACAGGCGTAATTAAGTGATAAATGAATAGTGGCTTTTCTTAAAAAAAACTCTGGACGTTTTCTATCATTATCATCATTAATTTTGGGATCATCGTCAACTATTTCTTATCAATCAGAAGGGGTTTTGTGGAGAATTTAGTATTTTCACAGTTGAAATCATGAGATGATTGAACCTAGACCACCATCGAAAACCTGGAAGCACTGGACGGCCGTTTCGTCCTATTATGGGACTCCTCAGCAGTGCGCATCCACGATCCCACACTCGCGAGATTCGAACCCAAGACCTACCAGTCTCGAGCCAGAGCCCTTAACCGATGCCGACTCAGTGATCTATCAGTTAAGTGCAACCATTCACCATTGTCTTCAGTGAGTCCCACAATAGGGCGAAAACGGCCATCCAGTGTTTCCTGGTTTTCCTGGTGGTCTAGCTTCAATTGATTCACGCGTTCAACTTTGTAAATACTAAATCTTCACAAAAAACCCCTTCTGTTAGATTTATTAATAAATAAACAAAAAACCTGATCATGAAATGAGATTAAAAGTGCAGTTTTATAAATTTCAAAGATCTATGCAAATCATTTAAAGTACATTGGAAATGTGTTCCTTCTAAGATTATTAAACTCCTTGTTATGTTCTCCTTTCATCTTATTTTTTTTGTACTTTTGTTTTCTTTTTTTTATACTTTATACATAGAAACTAAAAAAAACTGTAAAGGGAGGGGTTAAGTCAGTTGGTATATAAAAATTCAATTCATACCTTATTATTAGAAGGGGGGTCTTGTGGATAATATAGTAATTTCAATAGTTCAGATCATGAGTCAATTGAAGCTAGATAACCATGGAAAACCTGGAAACACTGAATGACCGTTTTCGTCCTATTGTTGGACTCACTGAAGACGATGGTGAATGATTGCTCGATTTCGTAGTTTGGTTGAAGTTACACATTAAAACCGTTGGATGCCGACCAGCTCAGTGGTCTAATAGTTAAGCGCTCGTGTGCGAGATTAATAGCTACTGGGTTCGAATCTCGTGAGGTGAGATGGTGGATGCGCACTGTTGAGGAGTCCCACACTAGGAGAAAGTGATAAGATAGAATATAGTACTATTTTAAGTTGTTTTGGTGATGGTAACCACCAGAACATTCAGGATCTAAGTTGGATGTTAACTGACAAGGTACCTTTGGTAACTTGAGGAAACTCACTCTATTCTACGGGATATAAACTCATGTCACCTAATCAATAGAATCCAAGAAATATGACGTTGGTTACAACACAATTCCATAAAAGTTTAAATGTTACCCAAATATCGTAGTGATTACGTTTGTAAATATATCACTAGGTGAACCCCATAGCTAATATTTTTCCTCTCAGGATTGAGGATATAGCTCACTACAGTGAGCCAGTTAGCGTAAAACCTATATATGTATTTGAGTGAATACACATGTTTTGGTCTTCTCACTAATAAAGATTGATGGACTGATTAACAAGAATTTTACGTATCACTATTGTGAGGATGGTCCACAGGTGAAGTTGAGGAAGCTCTAAGAAGCACAGGAGGAGCCGGGCATATTCCATCCAGTCAGCTTTAGGAAGAATATTCTAGAATTATTACGTATAGCTTCCCTATCGGACAATGTTGATAACTCCCTGTGTGCGGACTGGATAACTGTAATGATGATTTCGTTTCTACTAATAACTATAAATACCTGACAATTTTGTACCATAATCAACACCGTTTGAAATAAGATTCCTTCTACTTGTCTTATGTCTTCTGATTTGTGAGTTGGGAGGGTATTAGCGTTCGAGTACTACACGAATATAATACGACAGATTAAGAATCTAAGTTCGAGATATAACAACTATCGAAGCTGTACGTCGCATACTACAATAATTGTCTAATGTACTGCACTGTATTATTTTCACGGTGAGGAGAAAATAAACTAGACTAGTTATTGTTTCCTATGAATTAAGCTGCCCGTTTTGAAGCAGATAAGTAAAATCACCATGTCATTTACACCACTCGGGTAATTCAAAACCTCAACTACAAATGCCTGTACTTCAGTCGGTTATTTATCAGCCTAAATAATCAGATCACATTGAGATAGTGATAGAATGGAATTAACAAGATACATTACAAATAAGTGGAGATAGCTATATAGGGCGTACTGCTAGGCAACTTAACCAACGAATGAATGAACATCTACCAGCATGGTTGGAAATGGGCCAAATAAAAATAAGTGAATATCATAATGGAATCTATAAAATGGTAGAAATAAAGAACACTGAACATAAAGACGAAGACAATTCTCAGGATTAAGAATTATGAACTCATATTTCAATCTAAGATATAATGGATGATAATGAATGGAATGTATCTACTCCAGTATCTACTACCAGTTTGTACTCATATCACTAATAATCTTCAATGACGGATAATGAACATTATTCAAAGCCTACCCAAGAAGTATAAGTCTCCTTACATGAACCATTTGATCAGTCTATGAGTAAACTTATCCACTTGGCTGAATAATCATCAATAAGAGCAGTTTAATAATTAACTTACCTCTTTTTGTAATCGTCGAAATTGTATAACAGGAATTTTTGGAGATGATGACGATGATGATGACGACGATTGGATTGTTTCAATCGAATCTTCTGTAAATGATTCTTTATCATTATTCATAAAAGATTTCTCTATATTGATTTCAGTTTCATGTGCTTTTGTTAAAACACCACGACGTTTTCGTGAATAAACTATGATAGAGGTGAAAGAAGATAACTCAGGATTAATATCAAGAAGAGTAAATGACAGGAATAAGCGACATCTACTTTAAAGCAAGTAACAAATCATTGAAATCAGAGTTGTTCGTTAATGAATCATTGATATGGTTCAGAATCCAGAAAGATCATAATGCACATTTCAATCGTAATAATCTTATACCATTTATTATCTGAATACTTTATTCAAGCAATTACTACTACTACTACTACTACTTAATTAATTACGACTGTTACCCCTCGTCGAGGAGCAATGGCCACCTACCAGCATTCTTCATCTAATCGTGTCCTGAGCAATCATTTCCAGTTCATTCCAGTTAACATTCATCCTTTCCATATCTTCTTCTATTTCCCAAAGTAATGTGCTCTTTGGCCTTCCACTTTTCCACTTCCTTTCCGGATTCCAAGTTTGGCATTACCTCGCGATGCAATTTGGTGATTTCCTTAATGTATGTCCTATCCACTTCAAACGTCTTTTCCTAATTTCCTCTTCAACTGGAAGTTGGTTTGTTCTCTCCCATAAAACTCTGTTGCTGATAGTATATGGCCACTGAATTTTGAGTATTTTGTGTAGACAACTGTTTAGAAATAATTGTACCTTCTTAACGATGGATATAATAGTTCTTCACGTTTCAACTCCGTACAATAGAACTGATTGTCTTGACGTTCGTATTGAAGATTTTCAATTTGAAATTAATTGATAGTTGTTTTGAGTTGCATATATTCTTCAATTATAGAAATGCTGCCTTACTACTACTACTACTACTGCTACTACTACTACTACTGTAGTGAACAGAACACTAGTTGGGGACAATCGAATGTATTTAAGCAAACATTACAGACTATCTCGGTAAATTCTGATAACCAAACAATGAACAGTCAATTTGCAAATTAACAACCAATTGTTTCAATCTCACTGTTTCTTCTCTAATTCCATTGCTCATGCATTTTCCAAACGATCGCGCTTCATTTCAGTTCTTTCCTCATCGGTCTTCTGCCAAAAATACATTCTGTGTCTGACCAACACCATATACTACTTATATGGATATAAGTAGACCACACCATACTACTACTACTATTACTACTACTACTAGTACTACTACTACTGAACTGTGAAGTACGCTACTTAGATGAACAGGTATAAGTAGTATATAACATCAATCGAAAATGGAAAATCTGGCAACAGAAAGTTAGGAAGATCAAGTAGAAGAGAATAAGAACAAAAATTAATGAGTATGAAAATGAAGGTACAATAAAGTCTAAGACAATTAATGGAAATTTTGCAAATGAAGAATTGAACGTATGGTCTTGAAATTTTTTTTAAAAATAACTTTGTAATTATGTGTTAAATTAAGTTTGGTTGTTTCCATCTATATTTCCGTACGCTAAGCAACTAATTTAGTGAAAGAAGAACTTAATTGAAGGAAGATCAATTTATTCGCTAATGCAAAATTACAAAGTGATTTCATGAAGTATGATAGTCATACATTAAATACTTCATTTGCATATCTTCCCGAAGTTTGTGCTGATGATGTCGTTCAGAAGGACGATGAAAGCTCCACGACCAAACCATCCAGCTCAGAGAACAAACCAACATCAAATATCTTCCTTCAATTATCCTTTAATGATTCTTTCAATTCTGTTGTTATTACAATGGCTCTTTGTTTACATTCTTATTATCTCCGATTCAATTTTCTTTTACCAGGGATTCCACTTCTGATTGTTGTTACATACTACTTACATTTGTTAACATAAGTAACACACACCACACCACTTCTACTATCAAATAATAGACATTGCAGAATCAAATAAAATTATTGTCAGAAGGGGATTCGTGGAGATTTCAGTATATTTCAAAGTTGAAATAATGAGATGATTGAAGCTAGACCACCATCGAAAAACTGGAAGCACTAGACGGCCGTTTCGTCCTATTATGGGACTCCTCAGCAGTGCGAACCCATGATCCCGCGCTCGCGAGATTCGAACCCAAGACCTACCAGTTACGAGCCAGAGCCCTTAACCGATAGACCACTTAGCCGGCATCCAACGGTGTTAATGTCTAACTTTAACTGATCCACGAATTATGAGCGACACTTCACCAATTGCCTTCAGTGAGTTGTTATCTCACAACAGACGTGGTTGAACTCCGCTGGTTACTGTTTCCCACTAGAACTCCAGGACATGTATCTTGAAGTCAGTCGCTAGTGAGCATATTAATTATAATCAAAGGAGGAGTCCCATAATAGGACGAAACGGCCGTCCAGTGCTTCCAGGTTTTCCATAGTGGTCTAGCTTCAATTGACTCATGATTTCAACTTTGAAATAAAATTATTGTGATGAATGGCAAAGAAGTGGATACGGTATTACTTGTAATATTGTTATCATTAATAATGAAAAATCAACTAGGCATAGATAATCTGAATAGAAATGAATGAATGAATGAATGAATGAATGAATGAATCAGGAGAATGCGAGATTGACATTCATTTCATAACTAATGATCTAAATATAAACAGGTATCGAATGAATTCATACTATTGTAACTGATTTTAAGCTATTTTATCTTATATCTTCAACCTTTGGTTATTGTAATTATGTATTTTACATTTGTCTAAACCGGTTCATTTGAAATAGTTAGTTGACTTAACTTTTGGATTTCATATTTTAATTTATCAGATCATAATTTTATTTCAATTTAATTCTACAATTGCCAAAATCTTATATCAAGGTATATAGTAGTTGAACATTTGATTTTATACTGTTTATCCAGTATGTATCTATTAATGATTTCATAAAGAGTATACATGAATTACATTTGATAATCAATTTGAAATCTATCAAATTTAATCTTGTGTTAACAGTGGTCATTCACTATATACTACTAATGAATTTTAAACTTAAACAAAATGTTCCTTTTGTACTACCTGATATTTTAATGGTTTAGTAATATGAATTTCAATTTATGATGAAAATGAAACTTGATATTACTGTTAAGTTATATGTTTACTAAATATTCAATAGTTGACTCTGGTGATTTATTTATTTATTAATTCAAACACATAAATATTGGTACAAGGAAGTACCAGATATATATGTGATGCACAAATCTCATTTGATTTGTGTGAGGACTGTAATACTACCCAGGTGCCCAGACTAAAGCAGGTGGTTTTCTTAGGGGGCCACACTCCAAGCCTTTGACCTGAAGGTCTAGTCCACAAGGCAGTGGAGCATCGTAAAAAGATACAGTCCTATGGTAGCCGGTGATCAACAGTTGGTTCATACGCCATTCGTTCCTTCAGGATACTGGAGCCCATGTGCACCATTGGTTTGGAATCAGGGTTTTCCAACTCCCTTAGGTGAACTTTCCGTGTCCACCAGATCGGTTAAAGCGCCAGACATTCGCTTTTCGTCCTTTCAATTTCGTAAACAACAGTAATGCCACGAGAAGGCAGTGAGTAGGACTGCCCTGGCAGTGGTTGTATGCACGTGGCCATGTGAGAGCAGACTCTCGCCATTCTCATCCGTACTAGGGCATTTGGGTGCTTCTATGAAGGCGGAAAAAAGCTAAAACAGAATCATAAGTAGCTGTTGTTGTGAGACATTTTGATTAGTGTCTCAAGCTCTTGAGTTACATCATCTCTAGAACCACGATGAAGGAGTTGTAATGCCCTAATAAACATCAGTGCTATATAGCTTTACTTCAATCCTCGATGCATTCTCATATATATATTGACCACCTGTTCACTTTTACCACTCCCATCCCAGTATGCTAATGAATGCAAAATATGGAAGTTGATAAGATGACATATGTTAAATACACATTCAAGTCTCCTTTACCAAAGTAAATTTTTCTCATCAATACATATATAATTAGATGATACATTGATACACTTTGTTACAATGTACCACATGTTGTTATTTTTGGTTAGCGTTGCAGCAGCCTCTGTATAAATAGGCCTCAACATACACTAAGGAAAAAGCAAGATTCTCAAATACGACACAGAGAACACCAACCCAATCACACTTGATTGAGAAACTCTGGAAGAGGTAGAAACATTCATGAACCTTGGAAGCATCGTTGATGCACAAGGAGGATGCAGATGTAAGGGCGAGGATTGACAAAACAAGGGCAGCATTTCTACAGTTGAAGAGCATATGCAACTCAGAACAACTGTCAACTAATTTCAAAGTCAGAATCTTCAATACGAACGTGAAGACAGTCAGTTCTATTGTACGGAGCTGAAACGTGGAGAACTACAACATTTATCATCAAGAAGATACAAGTATTTCTAAACAGTTGTCTACACAAAATACTCAACATTCATTGGCCGGATACTATCAGCAACAGTGTTTTATGGGAGAGGACAAACCAACTTCGAACTGAAGAGGAAATTAAGAAAAGACTTTGGAAGTGGATCAGACAAGCCCTAACGCGGAATGGTGAAAGGAAGCGGAAAAGTGGAAGGCCGAAGAGCACATTACTTTGGGAAATGGAAACAGACATGTTAACTAGAAATCATTGCCCAGAACAGAGTTGGATAGAGAATGCTGGTGGGTGGCCTATTCTCCTCCACGAAGGATAACAGGCGTAAGTAAGTATGTATACCACATGTATATGAAATAAATTAACCCAACAAATAAATTAACCCACAAGATAAATAATAATAACCACTTGATAAATCAAAACAGCTAAGATAAAAAAGAAAAACACAGAGAGAAACAAAGAAAAGAGGAAAGAAAAAAAGGAAAAGAAATGAAAACATAATGGTAATCATCTTATAAATCAATATGATTAACGATGAAAAGTAACAAACAAACGATCATTTCTCAATATCAATCGTTTCATTATTCTATATATTACATTATTGTTACTATGGGATCATGATAAGTTAGATACACTTATTGTGAAGTTTATCCATACAGGTATCCATGTATGTGTGTATGTGTATGTGTGTGTGTGTGTCAGTGTGTTACTA